GCCTCCGGGGCAGGCGGGGGATCGAACTCATGCGGAAGTGGTTTTAGTTTCTTAGTGCAGTGCTTTAACCCGCTGCGCCACCAGGGAGGGCCCACTTTGTGCTATTTTGATAACTCTTTGAAGAGTTTGTTTTATTGATGAAAAGAATCTGAAATCTACCTAAAGGTTAAAATGTGTGATTTTTTTTTTTTTTTTTAGAGTTGAATCTATTTGGGCCTACATTCCTGTATTGGACTTCAAGGAAATACTAAGTTTCTCTATTTGGGACCTGATTTTAGTCTCAGTTTCTGATAAGCCGTACAGACCCTGGAACACTTAGCCTTTAGAGGAAACATACTCTGTATGCTATTCCCGTCACATTAATAATAAATATTTCAGAAATAAGAGTCATTTACACAGTAAACTTACCAACCAGTATTACATCTATGAATGGTATGAATGGGAGCTGGGGAGTCTTGGAGACTTGCTTTTTCTTTTATATCCTTTTATATGGGTTCAGTTTTGACCATGTGACTATTCTTTAAAAGGGAAAGTAAAATATCTATTTGTATGTTGTCCTCTGTGAAGTTATTGAAGGTGTAACGATAGTTGAATTATGTCCCAAACATGGAGACTGGCACTCAGAAAGCTCGTGCTGAGGAAAGGTGGGGCAGTGTATGCAGAAGGCAGAATTTAGAGTACTAATGCTAGCATCTCACCCAGAGACTGACTTGATATATTTTTAGGTTCAGTAGGTTTTGTTAATGCAGACCTTTGTAGGCTCTCAGTTCATTTGTTATAGGGGAAAACTGGTTTTTTAGCATGTGGAAGTATTACTGAGATCTTGAAAAATTAGGTTGACCCCATTTAGATGTTTACTGTTAGCTGTGTCTTCCATTTCTATATCTAATCTTTCTGTTTCTTTGTAGGTTTTTGCCTATTCTGGGCCACTTCTTATAAATTGAGCTATATAAGAGATGTCCTTTTATATCTGACTTCTTTCACTTAACAATATTTCAAACTTCAAGTATGTTTTAGCATTCCTTCTTTTTGTGGTTGAGTAACATTTCATTGAATGGCTATAATTCATTTCGTTGATCTATTTGTTGATTAATAACCTGGGTTTTTCCTACTCTTAAGCCCATGGTGGAGTCCTTCATGTCAAACTCCAATCCAGATGTAATTCTTATTGCAATTGCAGTATTTATCAAAAATGTAATCCTAAACCAATCTGTCTAGAGTGTCCTAATTAGTATCAGTGAAGTAATTTGCATGATAAGATTCCTGAGGTTTGCCCCCACAGGGAAGGTGGCTTTACCTGAAATGATCTTTCTTTTGCTAATAGCCTTATTTTAACTCTCTTTCTGTTTATAAATACCCTCCATTTTATGTAATCCCTTACAATATCTTGATGGGATGCTGCCTAATTCGAGAATCATTAAGTCAGTTTCAACCCAAATTTGAATTTTATTTCTTAACAAGTTGTTTTTTTTTTTTTTT